ATGAGGAGCTGGAGCTGATAGAGGGAGCTCATCCGCCTCTCCCCGGATTCGAACCTGCGACCTGTCGGGTCTTCAGTCCTGCCGACCAGAGGTTTAACCCACTGTGCCACCAGGGGCTCAGCATAGACCCATACTTGGCAGTGGTTGTTAAAGTAACCAATTACTACTGCCCTTTGGTGTCTATCGAAGTTTTCAGGAGAGGAGAAACAAAACTCTTCATTTGGGTCTTGTACATAGAGGTAATTGTGGTGTTATTAAGCTCTACTGTTATAATAACATCTATATTGTTTTCTTCAGTGTTATGGGCACTGCTGACTTGGAGGCCTGGTTTTACAAAAACAGTGCTTCCATATTGCGCATGTGGTCTTTCTGCCACTAAGATCATTCCTGGGACTTTTGGTCCACTGAAATCATTCCTGGTAGCTGGTGGGCTAAGAGTGTGGCCATGTGTGGTAATTTTCACCCCTCTAGCCCTAAAACCGAGGGGAAGGGGAGCCTGGGAAGGCCACCCATGTTGGCCAATGGTCCACAAAAATAGTTCTTTCGGACCCAGAACAAAAAAGCTCATTTGGAGAGGCACTTGAAAATGAAAACGGAGCATTACGAATGAAACAAACAGAAACAGATATCGATTCTATACAAGTGCACAAGACTATTGGATATAGGTTTAAAGGCCTATGTGTTTCTGTCAGTTTTTTTTAAAAGACAGCCATTGATTCATGAAGACTTTTCTGCTTTGCTTTTAATCAATTGCATGTCTAGTTAGTTAGTGGTAGTTCTCATTTCTCATCCTTTTACAAAGATTTTTTTTTTTGCTGGCCTTTCACATAGGCAGGAAGAGGATGTTCTTTTGGCAGATCTTTTTAGAAATTTATTTCTGGCCCTGTAGTGACCTGATTTCTTCCTTGTATATTTATGAAGACAGCATGCACCTGAATAACTGACTGGTGTTAACACTGGGTACAAATTCGTTTTGTTGTAATTATTTTATTAAGTCATACCCCTTTTTCTGTTTCTAGAAGGTATGTGAACTTTATTGCTCTTAAGGTTGCTCAGGTAATTCGTTTTAAGCTATCAGAAATACTATAGACTTTAGTTGATTTTTGTAACATTTTAATTTGTCTTTCCTGTGGAGCTGCTCCTTCCAGCATGGCATGCACAAATGAGCAATCATTTTTTTACATTTCGTTTATGTTTGTACTTTTGCTTGTTTCTACCTTCCAGTGGAGTAAATATGTTTTCTTCCACATTTCTATAAACACTAAAACAGTCCAGTTAGTTTTAAAATATTTTTAAGGTTTGTGTTGTAACATTCCCAGTTACTCTTTCTTTAAATAAATTAAAACATCTTGAATTACTTTTAAAAGGAAGTACTTTTTTTCACCCTTGCTGATACTTTCACATTTGCTTTCAGTGGACAATCCTGAATTCTACTATGAAGAAGAAGAAAAATTCCCCTCTCAATTTTCTTTCTGTTATGTAGAGTTTCCCACTGCCCTTATTCTAAACTATATAGCCTCAGGTGCTCTAGTCTTTTGTCATAAGGGAGTTCCTTCCTCCCTTTGATTGTTCAAGGTTTATTTTGAACTTTTGCCAGTGCTTCAGGATCTTTTTTAAGAAGTAGTAACCAGGAAGGTTAATTCAAATATGCAGTATTACTATACAAAAATTTTATATGATTTGCATGAAAGAATTTACTCCTTTCACAGTTGCTAGATGCTAGATGACACATTTATTTATTTATTTTATAAATAATAATAATAACAATAACTTTAAACACCCCCCCCCCCAGTCTACCCGAAGTGAATAGGAGTGGCTCACAACAGTGGAAATAACAATAATCAAAATAAAACAATGATAGTAAAACAATAAACCCATAATCAGTTTAAATAGAATCAACATAAGTAACTAAACAATCCATAAAAGTGAAAAGTAAACAGAACATATTAAATAATATTTTTAAAAAACAGACGTCATTCTTTAAAACCAGAATTATATGGTATTCCACCTTTCCCCCCCGAACTGGAGCTGAGGTGTCCTCCAAAAACAGTAAATTAAAAATACTTTCAATAGAATTTAAGAACATTTAAATCACTTCATAAAATACTAAAAATAAAAACGCAAAAAGATTTTTTAAAATAGATGAAACATCCTCAATAAGCCTTCTCCACTTATACCGGTGGTTCCCAACCTTTTTTTGACCAGGGATCACTCCCCAACATTAGTACCAAAAGGGTTACGAATCCGTTTTTGGTCAGCTTTAGATTTGGTTTCGTTTTTTTGGGACGCTGATTCAGAAAATGGTATTGGATATACCGCAGCAGCTGTAGTTTCTGATACAGAACATATGACATCCAGCAGTCGCCATCTGCTCGCCCGCAGAAAATCATAATAATCTAGAGCTGATGTGGTCTATCCCAAGGGGGTGGGATTAGTCATCAACAGGGAAGGAGTGGCAGGTGGTGCGAAAGGAGCGGAAATAAATAAATAAAGAGGAAGGAGGCTCGTGAACCAGATTTTTGTCCAGCCCACTGGTGGTCTGCAGCCCACAGGTTAAGAACCACTGACTTACAGAATAAAAGCTTGCTTAAGCAAAATGTCTTTACTGATAGTGAAAGGAAAGCAGGGAGGGGAGCCAACCTAGCTTTCTGTGGAAGGGTGTTCCAGAGGGTGGTAGCATCCATTGCAAAAGTTCTCACTATTGTCCTTACTGAGCAACCTGTGATGATGGTGGCAATGAGAGAAAGCTTCCCCCTAAATATCTTAAAACTCTAGTAGGTTTGTATCAAGGAGATACATTCCTTTAGATAGTCTGGACCAAAACAGTATAGAACTTTATAGGTCCTGACTAGCATCATGAATTTTGCTTGGAAACCTGTAGTCACTAGCCAGTAAAGTTATTTTAACAAGGGATTTGTTTTATTATTTTGTTTTAACTTCACCAGGTTCAAAATATAGCAATTAGTGATGGCTGGGGCCAGTCATAGAGAACATATAACTGTACCTAGCCAGCTCTCTAATTTAAAACCTGGTAACATTTCTAAAGATAGCTCTAATAGAGTGCTTTACACTAATCCAAATGCGATGCAATAAAGGAATGTGTCACCATACTCCAAATTTTCAGCTGACCTCTCCCGGCTGCTGTGTATAGATGTTAAACAGCATGGGGGATAAAACAGAATCCAGATGCTCTTTCTGTATTGGATACCATTATGCCTTTTTAGAAAGATATGTTTGCTTCAAGTAAATGTTGGTATCATAATACAGATGGAAATCTCTTCAGCACATGTATGGGTTTATTCAGTCGTTAGTTCAGTGGTTTTTGGTTTATTGTACGAGACAATGCATTCATTTTGTATTAGGAGAGTCTTTGGCATTTGCAGATGCATGTTTATTTAAATTATATATGTGGTATTTACTTGATGGTCAAAGCTTCAGAACTGCGTTCTGATCATCCAATGCAATGTACTACCCCCTTCATTCATAAGATATCCCTTCTGCTATCTGGAACAGAGATATTGGGGGGAGGGGGCAAATACCTTGAGATGGAGCTGCTTCTGTGTGACAGGTCCCATGCAGTAGGTGGTGTGTACATATAGACAGGCCAGAAAATGTGGCCTTGGGTGGTTGGTGAAATGATAAGGAAGCTATAGTTTGCTAATGAGTCACAGCTTCATAGGTATGGGAGGAGAACAAAAAGAGCAAGATGCTAAAGCTCATGCCACCAAAGAAGCTGCTGCACTTGAAACAAAAAAGTATCCTTTAAAGCAGTAGCAAAAGGTACTGCTGATGACCATAGCTAACTAAAATGGTAAATAAATAAAAATATTAGTGTGAACTGAAAATGTAAAAGTGCAAGGTGAGGTCAAACAAGTCAGTATATGTTGTTATTTTATCCCTGCATGGGTTGTCCCACTGTTTTAGAAATTTTAGCTATAGATAGAAGGAACTTGGTAGTTTGCAAACTGAGCTGTAGAGAACACTCGGTATGAAGAAAATAAAATTACTGAGCTATAGACAACACTCAGTATGAAGAAAATAAAATTGTTTATTAGGAGTGGTATATGATAACTCCGGATCGGTGGCTGGAATGAAAAAAAAGATACTAAACATTACATCAGAATTGTTAGAAAAACTCATGATATTTTAAAGGATTTTTTTTTTCTTATTTGCTTAATTGTTCCTGTCACAGTGGAGTGAGAAACTATATGGGTGAGAAATAAGAAATGTAGTCATTTCCTGGTATTTTTCTTTCCAAAAAAGTATTAAGTGTGGTAATTTGCTTCATATGTTCATATTATTTCAAACATGGTGGCATCTAAAAATCCTGCAATCCCATTTGCCAATATTTTTTCAACTTATTTGTAGAATAAATACTTTCACAGGATGAAAGGATGAGAATTTCAATGGGTTTTCTGCTGCTCTTTGTAGTAATGAAAGGCAGTTGTGACTTTAGTTCTTGGAAAGCCACCAATTGACTAGTTCTACACGCATCATGGACAGCTGTTCTATGGAAATTTTCTTTTAGTCACTGGTATGCTTTGGGGTTGAATTAATTATAGAGCTGAAAGTCCCATTACATAAAGTTCTATAGTATTGGAAGAGAATGAAGTATAGGGAGACATAATGACAATTCCATGAATTTCACTTCATTCATTAACAAGTTATCTTGTGTCTTAAACCAGCATTTAAGAACTTGACAATTTAGGTACGGTTTTATGCTACTAATATTTGTTTCTAAAATGTCTAAAATGAAATCACTAAATATAGTGTTAAAAGCACTGATTGGAGAATACTAGCTCTTCTTTTTATTGGATAACTTCCATCCTTTATGACAGTTAAATCTGTTTTCTGTTACTACAAGATTTGGCATTATTATAAGTTGCTTTCAGGTCTGATAAGAGTTCTATGGAAACATTGCTTTGATCAAGCTTTGCCTCTGTTGTTGCTGGACTTAATGTGCCCTGTATTTATTATATTGGTGTATTTTTATTTTACAGTATATGGAGAGGACCAAATGTGAACTGTGTTGACAGTACTGGATACACTCCATTGCACCATGCTGCTTTGAATGGTCACAAGTAAGTCTCTGGTATTTGAAATACCTATCAATTTACTAGCCTTTCCAAATTGTTTCAACTATATTATTCTGTAGGACTTCCGTATTGACTCATGTGAATATCATATGTAGCAGAGAGCACGTTCTTCAGGTTACCTTTATCGAGACAAACATCCGACTGTGCCAGATCACTATAAAATATATATATTCAAAATCATTGATGATTGTCATTGTGGTTTCGAAGTTGTTTATAGCAGTTTTAAATATAAAAATTGCAGGCTGGGGAATAGACATAACATCATCCTCTTTAATCCCAACAAATTGTGTCTTTCACTTCTCAGAACTGGATTTCTCAGGTCTGATCTTGTTGCACGCATGTAGGGGGCTACGGAAGCCACCACTGCGTGCTCTTCTCTATAGGCAAGGCCTGGAGTCCCTCACCTCCTTTCACCCCACATCTTTTTGCCACCAGCCATCCATCACATGGATGGATGGAAGGAAGGTGTGTGTGACTTCCCCCCATGGTGCTGGCAACATGAGAGGCTTCCTGTGTTGCCAGCTCCAGGCCTGGGTGGTGGAGGGAAGCCGCATGCACTGCACACACACCTCCCTTCCATCTGTGTGATGGGTGGCTGGCCGCAAAAAGGTGTGGGGTGAAGGGAGGTGAGATGAGGGCCTCCAGGCCTCACCTATAGAAAAGAGCACACAGCAATGACTTCTGTAACTGCTGCTGTGCATGTAACGAGGTCCTAAACGCTGTAGCTACCACACTACCCTGACTCACTACATATCCAGTTTGAAAAGTTGTAAATTTGTTTTCTGAAAGATCAGTAAAGGTCCAGATATTTCTTATTGCATAAGAATATTTTAACAAAGTTTTGAAACTTCCATTAGATATTTTTAGCACCATGGAGGTTCTGTTGGATTTTTATTATTGGAATATAATCCCACAGCTAGCTGGGTCAACAGATACCACACTTGAATATCTCATCAAGTATACTCAAGTGATATTCTGAAGGTTGCCATTCCACTCTTCCTCCTCTACAAACCATAGACAATCTTGAGTGTTTAAACATAATTTAGTCTTCCAATCTCATTGTATTGATTTCAGTTTTTTGCCCCATCCCTGTATCTTGATCCCTACAACTGTCAGCTTTAGAACTTCAGTAGTCTAGGGACATAAATCCCATTGCTGCCACTTTTGCTGCAGCTGCCAGAGTTTACACACTGGTGGAGCCAGTAACATACCAGCCATTGAAATGGACATAAGGGTTATTATCAATCATTCAGTTTCATGTATTGGTCCTACTGTTTCATTTCTTTACCCTCTTACCTAGTTCAAAATACTCATGGCATCATTTTATCTCCTCTCTACAGGGATGTTGTGGAGGTTCTGTTGAGGAATGATGCATTAACCAATGTGGCTGATTGCAAAGGCTGCTATCCTCTTCATTTGGCAGCTTGGAAGGGAGATGCTGAGATAGTGAAGCTGCTAATACACCAGGGACCATCCCATACAAAAGTGAATGAGCAGGTCTGAATATATTTCTTTTTTCTCCCATGCACATCATTTCCTAAATGTGTTAGCAATATCATTCCCAAAGAGAATGTGAATGCCACACTTAACGTAGGTTCAGTATGTTTAAGGTTTGTTCCTTCAGGATAACCTGAATGGTTAAGATCTTCTTAGTGTGGAAATTATTATCTTGAAAGTTTTATTTTTGACTTTGCACTTGATTAGGAACTGTGGATGTGAGCAATAAATGAATTACAACATCTGGACAGTAGGAACATGGTAACCATTGTTCCATTCAGCTTCCATTGGTTGTGTAATTTGAAACGTTCTAACTTGTGTACCTATTCTCTTCAGTGTTGGAACCAGCTTGATCTCCTTTAGCCATGTTCATTGAATTGTTCTTTCTTACTTTTAGTGTTCATATTTGGCAGATTCATTAAAGCACAGATTTTTCTTATCCTTAATTAATTTACTGAAGAACAGTGCTTCTTTGTCTAAATTGTATGCTATTCAATTCTTATAAACATACTGTTCTTTACACTTCACATAAGCCTTGTAAAATAACAAATTTGATAAATTATTGTTAAATATCTATAAGTCTTTTGCGTTCACAGTATGCACATAGTGAATGTAAAATTTGTATGTTGGTCAGTTCAGTGAACTTCGTTTTACATCATATGTGAAACACTGATAATTCAAGGTGTTTGCCGCTTATATTGTTGAATTGGAACTGGCTAACTTGTTTTCCTTGAAGCTACATTTTCCTATGACCAATATTTCTCCAAGACATTGATGCTAACAGAACAACAACACAAAGAGTGTTGGGAATGTTGAAAGAACTAGGTTTCTTTAAAGTCCCTCTTTCTGTCTCTCCATATAATTGGCACAATATACACTTTCTTCCTGGGGTTAATTGTAGTTAAATAAGATGCTCTCAGCCTCATAGAACAGCAAAAGCAAACTCCTTTTAAATAAATCATATGATCAGGTTGTCATAAGTTATTTATTTATTTATTTATTTATTTACAACTTTTATATTCCGCCCTTCTCACCCCGTAGGGGACTCAGGGCGGATTACAGTGTACACACATATATGGCAAACATTCAATGCCAATTTTTGACATACAACATATACAGACATACACAGAGGCTATTTAACTTTTTCTGGCCGCCAGGGGAGCTGTCGCTTTCATCGTCCATCTGCTTCCCCGCAGGAATGCTTTGCTGGAGTCTTCTTTATGGCCTCATAAATCAGTTAATTTAGCCTCCCCACACTTTAAGGTGGTAGCTTATTTTCCTACTTGACAGATGCAACTGTCTTTCGGGTTGCAAAGGTCGACAACAGGCTACACACAATTGGTTGGAAACCCACTCCAACCCGGGCTGGCTTCGAACTCATGACCTTTTGGTCAGAGTGATCTTAGAAATGATTAGAACTGAAAAGTTAGAAATGACCGGAAGGCATATAGCAACAAATATGCTTTATAGTTCTCTCTGACCAACAAACATTGTTCATGCTATGCTATACAATAGCGGCTTTGGACAGTGTGAGTCATATTATCACCAGGCTGCTGGGAGAAGCAATAAAAGTTTGTTGAGAATTAGAAGTTGAAATTCTATCTTTGTGCTGTGTATGTAACTGTCAAGACTTAACATCTGCACTATCATGTAGTGGAGCAATGTTTCCAAAAAATAGTCTATTCCCGGAACAAATATTTCAGTTGAAAAGAAATTCAAAAGTGTTGTTCAGCTGCTGATTAGTAACATTCTTCACGTTAAAATAGCCAAATGTGCATGTTAAAATGGCCTTTGATTATATTGTTTGCTAATCCTTTTTACTGTGCTCTATTCATTGTACACTCAAGTGCAGCTGTGATCATTCAGTCTGTGCTAGTGTAACAGTGCTTAAGCTTTATATGATTTACCATTTTAGTGTACTGGAAGTAGACCATATGATCTCACAATCTGTGGTTAGAACAAGGCCAGATACAAAAAAACACATCTTGAAATGTTGCAAAGTAAACGGTACATTTTGTTTAGTTAAAGTTTGCATGCTATCTTTAAAAACGATGTGCATGGTGCAGTTATTGACAGCTGGAATGGCCAGTGTGATTAATTGCTTTTCATTGGAATGATATATTGTCATGTTCTGTCATTCCTTCCCTCCAGAGTCACTCACTGCTTTGTTGCTGTATCTTGCCCATTTCATCATCACGTTTTCTTTTCCTCTCCTTTTGTAGAATGCTCTTGAGATCAAAGAATTCAAAAAGTACGGCCCCTTTGACCCTTATATCAATGCCAAGGTGTGTACTTCACTGCCAGGATTTCACTACATCTTTACTCCAAGTTGCATTTTTGTGTTTTCAGGTGCATTATCATCTAGCTTGCTGATGATGCCCATTCAGGGATGAAAGAATGGGAGCTGTACAATATAAACTTCTATTTGGTATTTAATGAGTTCCTTCACTGGTGTGTCCTGCTATATGTGGGAATCTGATCAGTTTCCAACTTGGACATAAAATTCTAAAGGAATTTTTTTGAAATATCTAGGTATCATATGTCACATTTAATCAGAAAGGGAGAAATACTGGATCTGCTCATGCAATATGATCCAAAACCATTCTAAATCGGATTAATTCTTAATTGGATCATGAGGAATGAAATTTTAGCATCTCAAAATAATTTTTGGAAGTTGGATGAGGACAACAATGCCTCCCATGTATTGTGTATATGTTTGTATGTGTCTTGCTTTATTGGTTGCACTTTGGCATCTAAATGTTGCTTTGTCTAATCTTTCCTCTATTCTTTTCTTGCTTATCTGGAAACAAAGTACAAAAGTAATTTACCAAAGAAAACTTCTGAGAACAATTCAAAGCATTCTGAAATTACTGTATATGTAGCCCATTTAATATTTTGAAGTACCTTCTTTAATCAATTATATCTTAATCAACCACAAAAGAAGTTACAAAACCCTGTGTTTATCACTATGATTTCCAACTGTTATACTAGGCTTACTAACACATTGGTTTCTAAGATTCAGCTTCAGTTTTACTGTGCTAGAATGCATGGCATACTCCATCCAAATACAGTGGTTGGAAAAATCTAAACAGGCAGTTTACTTAAATCTTTTTCTGTAGTATAATCTTTCTATTGGAAATGTAGTGCATATACTAAATATTACAGCCTTTAGTGTAGCATGTTCAAATCCTTAGTGAGCTGTTGTGCAAAGAGTAATAATGCACAATGAGGCTTGCAGCAGCATATTGATTGCTAGGACTTGCTGCTTCTAAAGTGTTAAAGAGGGATTTTAGGCATCGCAGGGTACTTCAAAAGTCATGTCTCCCTCCTATATATTTCACCCTTTTCTATATATGTAGTTCTCAATCTCATAGTTCCCAATGAGACACATTACAGTCTAGGAAACTGATAAAATAAACCATGATTTTCTGTAGCTCAACAAAGGGCAAATTTAATTCTTTGGCTTAAACCAATAATAATTTCTGTTCATGGTTACTATAATTTTAATATAATATACTATAATTTCAGCATTTACACAACCAAAAGTATAACACAAAGCTTTTGGTTGTAGTGCATTTTGCTGTACAGTGTTGGGATATTTTTGGAAGAAGAGAACAATTAAAAAGAAGACCATTAAAGATCATTTACTTCAACATTAGAGCTGGGATCCAAAGAACGAAGAAACACGTTCTATGAGCCTGAACAGGCTTTTGTAGTTTTGGAATTCTAAAAACATGGTATGATACCCTACCCATCCCAAAGTATAACCCCACTGAGTTAGTAGCTTCTTGTGTGAGCCACAGGTACTTAGTGAACTGAGTCATTCTCTTTGATGGGATTGGGATCCCCAAGCTCTTTAGGGTGGTATTTTTAAAAATGTGCCACAAAACATAATGTAGCTAAAACTGATTGTAACAATAGATAAATAAATCCATAAAACTTGGTTTTTGAAATGTTCACTTGCATCTACATGGTGCATAATTGAGAACTTTCTAGAGCAGAGAAGTGAGTGTTTCAGTGGTAGTGAACCTCTCCTCAATGCTCATGCATGACATGATTCCTGCTCAAATCCTTACTTCCTTTTTATTCATCACAACAGCAACATTGAACAAAACACACTCTTTGGAGTTTCTTTTTATAGCTAATTGAGTACTTCCTTCGAACAGATTCAGATTGGCTTGACTTCCTTCCTCTAAATGTTTTGGAAGGAAATTATCTAAATTATCAACTTTCAACTTGGCTTGGACTTTGCTGACTTTTTTTCTACTATTGCTTAGAGATTAATGGTATCTGTTGGTTCATTCATGAGGTGTTCATCTTGTTGAGAGTACAATCCCTGGGAATCAGGCATTCTTAGCACTGTGGTCAAATGTGGGAATCTTTACGCTGAACCCACTTCTTCCAGTGTTCACTGCAAAAACCCAGTGTGACAGCTTCCATGATCCTCACTAGTGTCATTTGTAAGAACTCACTTCTGTCACCCTTATGTGACACCAACTGTGGAGTCATCCTAAATGCTTCCAAGGTTCATATGAAGATTTGTGTTGCTTTTCTCCCCAACAGGACACCTCTTCAATGCTGCCACTACAGACACCTTGCCTGAAACCCAGCTCTCAGAATGATAGTGAGTCCGGAGGCCAAGGGTGTCTAAAAACAAAACTTTATTTACAGAAATTAAACTTAAAACAAAATAAAAAAACTTTTTAAAAATTAAAAAAAACAAAGGAATTAAACTTTGAACAGTACATTATTTATGCAGAAACCTTGAGTTGGAAGAGACCACAAGAGCCATTCAGTTCTACTTCCTATCATGTAGAGAAGCAAAATATACCACACAGTAAGGCATCATATCCCATTGTTGGACAGCTCGTACCATCAGAAAGTTCTTTCCTATAGGTTGACTCCATTGTTCCATGTGCCATTCACTAGAGCAGCAGAAAACAAGCCTGCTCCGTTTTTAATATGACATCCTTTCAAATATTTAACGTTGCTATCAAGTAATCTCTTGACCTTCACTTATCAGGGTAAACATACCCAACTCCCTAAGCTACTACTTATAGGGCATGTTTTCTAAATCTTTTACCATTTTGGTTGATCTTTCTCTTGCTTAGAACTGGATGCAGTATTCTGGGTGAGATCTGGCCAGACAGATTAGAGTAGTACTATTACTTCCCTCAATCTAAGCATTATTCCTTTTGATCCAGACTAGAATCACATTGGCTTTTTAAACTGTATCACAGTATTGACTAATGTTTAGCTTGTGATCTACTGAGACTCCCTTTCATATTTACTTTTATCTGTTCATTTCATTTCATTTGAACCTTTGGCTATGTATAGCTTCCAACTACTCACCTGGAAAGTGAGTAGTTTTGTAGCCATTACATGCATGCTGTGAGGGTAAACTCTTTGTTCCTCCAGTTCCATAATGATAAAATTGCACTTTGGCTTTCTTATCCAAGGTTTCTGCTTTCCATCTTAACTAGGACATCATGTTGCCTTCTTTAATGAGGAACCCTGTTTCTGACTTGCAGCATTCCCTCCACAAATTTGATGTTCATCTGGTGCACATGTTTTATGTGGACCATACAAGTCCTTTCCAGAAGATTCAAGGATCCTATTCAAGTGTCAAGAAGGGCTTATCAATTTCAGCACAAAGTTTTGTAAATTTTACTTTTACTAATCAATTAAACAGATGACTGACTAACAGGGAACCCTGTGGTGACCAGAATGGTGGCCACCTTGACAGTATTCCTGGAAGTGTTCCACTGCCAGACATCTGTAGAGTGGCTCAACTCGGCCTCCAGCCTTTATACGGCATTACGGGTTTGTTGTGAGGGCAAGAACAGAGGCTACATTTGGAAGAGCTTTTCCTGTTTCCTGTGTCGCATGGCATTACTTTCTCTGTTAATGAGTAGTTTGCTAGTCTTTTGTAAGAGTCAGTGAGACCATGAAGAAGAATAGGTTGCTTATCTGTAACTATGGGTTTGAGTGAGCCTGTATGCACCCACCTAACCCATCTCACCTCATACATTCTCCTCTCTAAATATCCTGCGATGCTTAGCTGCTTTGCTGTTGCGGTGATGGTCTCAGATTTGAGTGGAAATCATGCTGACTGTGTACACTGAGGAGGGGCAAAGCTTTTAAGTCTCTTAAGAAGACTGAATGATGCACTGCTCAGGCACAGGTGACCCATTTGTGTGATTTCACAAATGACCATTTGCAGAACCACAGTTTCAGGAAAGTGGCCTGCTTTTTTTTTTTTTACATTAGAAAGCAACAAAAAAATTCTTGTTGTTAAAATCAGATGGCATTTCAACCTGATCTATTTCTTTTTTACAGGCATAGTGGTGGTGGCAGGGATCCTAATAATCAATTAATTTGACCAATTCCCATTTTCTCTTGGAGCAGACTAGAAACGGATCTTCAGTGAACCTGTATTGATTGCCTGTATAAACAGTGGAAACAGATGAGGGTGTAAGCCCTTCACCAAGACTTGTTTCTCTAAAATGAAAATTTCTTTTTGTTGTCTTCTAAAGAGTTTTGCATCAAACAAGTTAATGTATCAAGGAAAACTATGATACATTCTATCCATATAGAAAAATGTGGTCATTTGTGACTTTCTTTGATCCCATTTATGAACACAATGTAGTGTTTAATCTTGAATGTAATAAACTACAGATGTAGGCCCATAACAAATCAAAAGTTGTGATGTGTTACTTTGATTTGTTTGCTTGTTTTGCTTGCGCTTGTTACATTTATAGCCATTCTTTTAAACACATGAATCACTAAAGTTTACTGAGATGAGGGGAAAAGTAGAATTAAAGATTTTTCTCATTTTTATCTCTACTCTCATTTGGCCTATCCACACTCCCTTGTCCCAGTATAATTGCTTCTGTATGAATATTACTTGTTTGATGAAAACTATTAAGGGTAAATCACATGCACAACCAAATGTGTACCACAGATGTCACTACTATCTATATTGCATTGCTTTCAGTTAAAGACATACAGCCAGCCCTTCACATTCATGGGGCTATGTTTTCAGAATCCCGGCAAAATTTTAAAAAGTGAATAAAATACACACTCTCTAGGAATCTCTAGCATGATTTGAAGAAGAATTTCCAGGGGCACCTTCTACACTGCCATATAAAATCCGCATTATCTGCTTTGAACTGGATTGTATGGTAGTGTAGACTCATATATAATCCAATTCAAAACAGATAATGTTGGTTATCTGCTTTGATAATCCAGATTATATGGCAGTGTAGAAGAGGCCAGAACCATA